ACCAATCTGTGGGGCAGAGGTGGCTGCTGCTGTGTTTTGCATGTTGAGCCCCATTGCAGCTGTCCTGGGTGCAGCCCAATGCCATGTGCATCCTGCCGCTGGGCTGTTACACCCTGTGCCTGCCCCATGGCAGGACATGTGGCCTTGCATCTCTTCCAAGACAGCTGCAGTGTGGCTCTGCACAAAGCGCAGCACCCAGCAACAGCTGCCGCCTCTGCCCCGTACACAGATTGGGGGGCCAGGTGTCCATGCCCCGCAAGAGCCTGCTGTCAGCAAGCTCTCTTGGCCCCAATCCTCCCACTACCCAACCCACCTGGGGCCCCACTCACCTTGGCCCCTGCTCCTGCCTGTGCTGTACTCTGTCCCTCTGTGTGGGAGCCTCAATGTGGCCCCCACCCCTTCCCCCCCCCCCACTGACTGATCTGGGTGTGGGAAGGGGGGTATATGTGCTCAGTGGCCTGCCCTCCCCCCCCCAGCCTCTGATTAGAAGAGGCTCTGCAATTTTGCAGATGTTGGGCAAGTCTGGGTCAAACTGACAGATGCCTCTTTTGGTAAAGAAAGCACTTTTTTGTTTTTGTTTTTCTCATGTTTGTCAGCCTCTTAAAAGGTTAGTGGTAAATTCGATTAGATGAAGCTCCTTGGCCCTTATGATGGATTAGCAAGGACATGAAACTGAAGAGTTTCCAAAGTTCTCACCAGATACTTGAATCTGCCACTTTTAGATTCTGGCTCTTCTGTTTGATCAACAAAAAGAGATGTTTGAGTGCATGGACACATAACAGATTATTTAAGTGCACTTTAAACCTGAAGTGGACTAGCAGTCAGTGGTGTCCTTGCTTCCTACTCAAGCACAGCCCTTCATCCTACTCCCCTAGCCCCTGAGGACCAAAAAAATATGACACGCCTTCCTGTCCTAGTATATTGTAAACTTCAATCAAAAGGAGGCTATTCAAGTTTATTGAAATAGAAGAAAAACAAGACTGCCATCAGCCACAAGTTGCCTGCTTTTGGAGACTCCCAAAGTATGGGTTCAAGCCCTTTCCAAGCCCCTCGGCCCTATGAGATACGTTGGGCTGGGTGCTCGCGCTCACCCCTTTGTGTTGAAGTCTGAGCACTACGCACAATTGTCAACCAGTTTCCAATCAGTGACTTTTGGGAACAGCTCAGTTGCCCAGTGTCTGCCCATGATGATGTCTATAATGTCATTCAACATTTTGCAGATACGTTTCTTTACAGGCTTCACTTGAGTGCTCTATAGTACTGAATAAGATCCAAAGTACTGAAAGTACAAAACTCACATTATTTTACACTTATCATGCAAGTGATTAAATGTCTTTTATATCAAGCTAGTCTTAAATGCGTCTCGGACGGCCGGAGCCGACTCAAGATGATTCAAATATTACTCGGTCGTTTGGGCGGGCTGGTGAATGGAGAGACAGACACAGTTTATTGGTTGCAAAAACTTTACTTACGCTGCTTGTAGCCGTGACGCTGGTGGTCCGGTTGCTTGAACAACTATGTCAGTTGCTCCAGCTGGCAAGGCTCAGGCCAGCTAATCCGTCCACAAATTAATCCGGCAGGGAAAGGGTACGTCGAGAATTGCGCTCGGCGACGGGGAGAAGAATCGATAGGTGATCAGTCTGTCGATCAGCTCAGCCGCAAGTCAGATCTCTTCAGAGGCACTCTGCAGCGTGCTCAAAGTTCTCCGACTTGGGCAGAAGTCGCACAAAATTTTAAACGGCTAGCAAGCCAATTGCTAGCCGCCACGTAGGAATAATTTAGAACTGGCCAATAGTGGAACACAAATTTGCATTCAAATGGCGGGAACTCTCTTGCACCGAGGTTTTTCTGTTGCAACAAAAACCTTTTGCTGTGCAAGAGGCTCTCACGTGGCGGGAAAATTCCATCGTGCCGAGGCACCAAAACCACTGGGTTGTGACAAAATGCTGCAATAAGCTCTGAATTCCACAGAAAATACTTCAGCAGCATTCAAACAATTAAAAAAATCACACTAATATAATGATGGGAGTTCCTATGTTTTGTTCTCAGTGGGTGCGTGCAATTAATGCGCCTGAATTTTTTCTGTAAAGAAAATTCAGGCTCGTTAAAGTGTTTCTGTGTGCACATCTACACCTGTGCCCCTGTTGGGAGCAGATATTTTTTCCAGTGAGTATGTCTAGATGTGCATGGACGTTTGGTTTCCTGGGGACAAGTAGAAGCTTGTACTGCAGCTACTTTTCCCCTTGGAGTGCCTGTGCCACTTGTGCTTTGGTGTGTGGCAAGTTGCCCTGGGGACAGTAGGGGAGGCTGGGGCCAGCACCTTGGATTCGGAGGCTCTCCCAGGGCTGCAGCCATAGTGATCCTGCCAGAAAGAGCCTGGCCAGCAGCTGCAGTGTAGCGTCACTCAGCCCAGCTCTGCTTAGCAGTGCATGCTGCCTGAGTGTGCACTGCTTGGGTTTATTTTTTCCCCATGTTTTTTGTTTTTACCCCTGGATATCCACAGGGGGAAAAAAAGCAGCGCACACATGGGCAGTGTGCCCTTGCAGCACAGAGAACACTGGCCTGTGCAGTAGCCACATACCACATGACTACACATGTCTGGACGCGCCCTCTGAGAGCAGTTCAGTCCAGGGCTGCTCCTCACCCCTCTACCCCAGCCCTCGTTTAGCAGTCATGGGGAGCTTTAGGTTCCCTGGTGCCAGCCCGGGCTGGCAGGAGGCATGGGGATCAGGCCTGGGCTCTGGGGAGTGGGGGGAGCTGTTTGGGAATGGGGGACAGCTCCCAGTGCATGGAGCTTGGTATCACTGCCCAGCTTGGTGGTGCCAGCTTGGGGCAATGCCCTGTGCTTGAGTGTGGGGGTAAGCAGTGCTGGGATGAAGGTGGGGGGAGGCGTGGGGGCAGGGAAATGTAGGGGGCAAGAAACTCCTGGGACTTGGGGGGGAGGGGGGGCACAAGGGGGAATGGTGGGCTGGTGCTGCTTCCACATACTGCGCATTCATGCTCGTCTGGATGCGGCCATAGGTTTGTGCTGATAAAGCAGCATTGTCTGGGAAGATCTAATGAAATATGTCTTCTGCATTGCTGTCAAATGAGCTTGTCAAAATGCCATGTCTGGAAAAATCTAATTAATCTCTGCCATGATTAAGA